CTTCCCTGTGGACAGCTCCAGTGCCTTGCAAGGTCAGCTGGTGGGCAGCACTCATAAGAAAAACAGTTCAGCCCTAGAAGGATGTGAGGTCTGTGGGACTGGCAAACTTGGCTAAGGGTTAAACTACTGCAACCGTCTAGTTAAACATGACATTATAGGGGCTAACTCACCCATCCCCCCTCTGGCAGGGCTTGTAGATCTGTCAGGAGAGTCCACAAGTTTGGGGAGCAGGGAACACATCAGCCCACACTGTGTAAACTTGGCTTCATCCCTGTGAGGTGGAGTTTTGGGCTGGAGCTGTTCTGTGGGATGCTGCTAGAGACACGTACGAAGTGGGGAGTACCTGCATGTCTGAGGTTCAGTAACGCCAAAAGGAGTTTGGTATTACAGCCTTCCAGGAGTGGGAGAGGTTCCTCTCCTTTTCCGTTGCGCCCCTCTATGCCACTGGCAGGCCAGCGAGTGAGATAATGGTTCAGATTGGGATCCGACTGCAAAGGCCGCAATTAGTGTCATGGGGGATGTGTAGCTCATGGCAGTTCCAGGAGCTGTGGCTCACTGAGAGCAATTCTTACTGTGGTAGAAAGCTGGCCAGGCCAGTACGTTGAATAGCAGCGGGTCTCCCATCCCACAGGACAGAACATTGGATGTATTTAATAAATTCAAGTGCAGAGTACTTCACTTAGGAAGGGCAAGGCAAACACACAACCAATGGGGAATAACTGGCTTGGTGCTGGTATTACTGAAAAGGATCTGGGGAGGGTGGTGGATCATCAACTGAAAATGAGCCAACAATCTATGCAGTTGCAAAATGGGCTTAAACAGGAGTGTCATGTGTTAGACACGGGAGCCAGCTGTCCTGCTCTAGTCAGCACTGGCGAGGCCTCATCTGGAGTGTTGTGTCCTGTTCTGGGTGAAGGAAGATGTGGACAAACTGGAGAGAGGCCAGAGGAGAGCAACAAGTGATAACGGTTTTCGAAAACCTGATCTCTGAGGAAAGATTGTAAAAAACCCTGGGCATGTTTAGTTTTGAAAAAAAGACTGGTGTGGGACCTGATAGTCTTCAAATACATGAAGGGCTGTTACGATGGAGGTCAGTGGTCCATTATTCTCTACTTCCACTGATGGTAGAACGGGAAGTAATGGGCTTAATATGCAGCCTGGAAGATTTAGGTTAAATACTAGGAAAAAACCTTCTAAATCTAAGGGAAATTAAGCTCTGGAATAGGCTTCTAAGGGAGGCTGTGGAATCCCCATTTAAGAGCAGGTTAGACACACGCCTGTCAGGGGCAGTCTAGGTTTCCTTGGTCCTGCCTCAGGGCAGGAGACTAGAATAGATGACTTCACACAGTCCCTTCCAGACCTACATTTCTATGATTCTACATAGGATGGACGAGGCAATTTGGCTAGAAGAGCCAAACCCAGCCCTTAATGGATAGCGCTCGCCTGTTTCAGATTTCTTGATAATCACGAAGACCTGACCGTGTTCCCTGTAAGCTGAGTACTCGGGCAGACACCCAGGAGAGATTCTGATGCTGACTAGTTGATTAGCAGAGTGTCCACAGCCAGCATCATGTGTTTCTATTGGTGGTGCGCTTGCCTTATACATGCCTTGGTGCACAGAACAAAATGTATTAAGCCCATTACTTACAGATGGAAAAAATTAGAGGGAGCATTGGTCCCAGCCAAGGACATATGTGGAAGGCCCCAAAGGCCATGAGGAAAGCGATCGCACTGGGATATCCTGCCTAGCTAGAAACAAAAGACTTTGGGATAGGCTGTCCTCATTCCCAACCTGGTTAGCTGCTCCAAGAGGGAGGTATGGGTAAATATGGGATAAGGAGGACTGGAGGGTATTTGTCAGAGCTGGTTGCCCCACTGCTCATAACGCCATACAGTGAATCTAAGGTATTTGAGGCTCAGAGTACTGAGACTCTGCTAGGGTATGTCTACACTACAAAGTTAGTTCGAACTAATGGACGTTAGTTCGAACTAACTTTCATAGGCGCTACACTAGCACTCCGTTAGTTTGAATTTAATTCAAACTAACGGAGCGCTTAGTTCGAACTAGGTAAACCTCATTCCACGAGGATTAAGCCTAGTTCGAACTTACTAGTTCGAATTAAGGGCTGTGTAGCCCCTTAATTCCAACTAGTGGGAGGCTAGCCCTCCCCAGCTTTCCCTGGTGGCCACTCTGGCCAACACCAGGGAAACTCTATGCCCCCCTCCCGGCCCCGGACCCCTTAAAGGGGCACGGGCTGGCTACGGTGCCCGTGCCAGGTGCAAGCCTGCCAGCACCCAGCCAGCAGACC